ATGGGAACGTTCTGGGCAAGTTGCTCGCCCAGAACTGTGGCTGTGACCCGTGGGAACATTCTGGGCGAGCTGCTCGCTCAGAAAGCTCCCACGCTATCCCGTGCACGCGCGTGTACACAACACACAAAGGCAACAACAAGGCAACAGTCAAAGAATAAGAGGGGGTAAAGTAGGTGGGGAGTCCGGGGTGCCCTAAGGCAGGGTGCTGAACCCTGACACATTCCTAGCTGCCACAGTAATCCAAGCAGCCATACTCGTCGACACAGAGGCTCTCCATCGAGACATTCTAGCCTCCCTCTCCTCCAACACCACAATCTCTTCTCATCTCACTTCCCCCAACCTCCCCAATTCCTGCTGGTCCATTGATGCTGAAGGCCTGTTAAGGCTGGACAACTGCATCTATCCACCAGCTCTCTGGACACTTCAGTCAAAACCGGACTCTGGATCTAGTCTGTTGTGAGTATACCTGGCCAGGCATCCATAACTTCATCAAGAGCTATGTCTCCTCCTGTACTTCTTGTGCCCATGCCAAAGTCCCCTGCCACAAGCCTTATGGCTTACTCAAACAACTCCCCATCCCCAAATGTCCTTGGAACTCCATCTCCATGGATTTCATTGAACAGCTACCCTCCTCTTCCAGATTCACTTCCATCTTGGTCATCATGGACCGCCTGTCCAAGCAGTGCATTTTCATCCCTACCCACGATACCATCACCTCTCCAGAACTGGCCAAGCTATTCCTCCTCCATGTGTTCTCCAAGCACAGAGTTCCTTCCCATGTCACCTCCGACAGGGGTCCGGAGTTTGTTTCTCATTTTTTCCATTCACTTGGTAAGGCCCTCAACATCTGCCTCCACTTCACCTCCAGTTATCATCCAGAGGGAGACGGACAGACTGAATGGATGAACCAGACGCTCAAGCAGTACCTGCGTATCTATAGTAACTACCAGCAGGACAATTGGTCTGAACTCCTACCTCTCACGGAGTTCACATACAACAATGCTCCGAATGCCACCACAGGCATCTCTCCATTCTTTGCCAACAAAGGTTACTATCTGAACATCACCATTCACCCAGAGCAAGACCTAACATCAGTACGCACCCAAGAGTACTCTGTAGATCTCGACTCCCTCCATCACTTCCTTCGTGAGGAAATGCACCTCGGCTCAGATCCATTACCAGGGCCCAGCAGACTCCTGCCCCAGCTTTCAAGGTGGGAACTTCGGTCTATGTAAAGGCCAAGTATTTCCGTTCCACCCAACCTTCCAAAAAGCTCTCTGAGAAAAACCTTGGCCCATTCAAGATCATTGCCCACATGGGAACCCACTCCCTCTCTCTCTGCCTGCTGGAAAACATGTGAGCCATTCACCTGGTATTCCATGTCTCGCAGATCGAACCCTCCATCCCAAACGTCATTCCGAACCACCACCAGCCACCTCCACCTCCAATAGAAATCGAAGGCAAAATGGAGTTCGAGATCGAAGAGATACTCGACTCCAAGATCAACCAACGTAGACACAACAAGTTGCTCTACCTGGTCAAGTGGCTAGGCTATGAAGGGACTGATGAGGAGACACAATGGCTCCTTGCTGGCGAACTTGATCATGCCTCTGACCTCATTGAAGCATTCCACTCTCAGTACCCAGACAAGCCTGGTCCCAAAGCTCCTTAGGAACCTTGACTCCTCTCCCATCTCTCCTTCCTCTCCACTCCTCACTTCTGTTTTCATTTTTTCTTCTGTAAGTACAGCTCCCCTCACCTTACTAATTCTGGGCCTTCAAGGGTTCAGGCCTAAGAAGGGGATACTGTCATATCCATCCACAGCCATCGTCTTCCACTACCTCCAATCCCTCTGGAACACCTCTGCTCCTTCTTCACTAACCTCAGAGCTCCCATATTCTGCAATCACCTCCACTTCCCTTGATGGTCACCACCCCCTCTTTTCAATATATTACCTATGCCTCCCTAAGTACAGAGCCCTGAAGGCTTCCAGACAGCTCCGACGCCTGCTAGCGCACTCCCGCCTCTGCTGGGCAATTCACCTGCTTGCCCTGCAAGCCCACCTTCAGGTCTATCCCTCCTTTCTGTTTCTGGGTTATCGCCTGCCATTCCGCTAACCCCGCAACCTGACTTGTTGGTAATATTCAGTCGGCTAATGTTTAACTCCGTTAGCTCTGCTCCGCTCGGCCCCGCCATTCACAGGCCCACTCTTGCTGTAACTATATATACTTAACTTGTACATAGGTTACACCTCAGTGATAAAATCAACTAGAGTTGATTCCCCTTTAGTTCTCGTTGCCAGTAAGTAAATTAGGGCACGGACGTGTAACTTGGCACAGTGCTCCTGGCTTGAGTCACTGAGGCTGAAGCCCTCCGCCATGGAGACAATTCCTTCATCTCAATCTGGTCTCTAACAGCAGGAGAGAACATTGGCTAAGGGTGGTAGGATTGCAGGATTTGGCTTGTTTATGGTACACCAGCAAATCCCCATTACAGCACACCAGGTAAACCACTTGCACATGTAACAACACAAATGACAACTTACTTCTCACATAGATACAGCTGATCCTAGGGGACTATATTAAGAAAAACTCTTCCAAAGCTGAAATAGTCGGTTGCGCTATGGAACTGATAAATTGGTTCAATAATCACCCATGTGCACTTGCTCTGCTATTCCTTGAGCACTGTTCATACCCTGAATTCAGTTGTGTGCTCACACTCCTGAAACCCTGCCTGACATGATGGGGTTCTCATTCTCTTGCACTAATGAGACTCCTCAAGCTAAAGCTGCCATTACAAACTTTGGCAACAAAGCATGCTTGGCATGATGGATCCAATCAGGATCTGCTAATCACTGGAGGGAACAAGCATGACCAGGTTGCGAAGGCACACAGCATAGCAGAAGATATCATTAGGAATGAGACATTCTGGAAGAATCTGGAATGGTGAGTAATCCAGTTAGTATATAACAGGGAATAACTCACATCAAGTAGTGTTGTTGCCCATTTGTGTCATATCCATACATACCCGATCCCGATCCGACTCCTGGACCCCCATCTTCACCACCTCCGGAGTCCTACCCTATCTCCATCCACTCCGATACTCACCTTGGACCAAACATCACTCCTCTCGCCACCCCCCTCCTCTTACTCCTCCTCTTACTCCTCACGACACCTCCACCCTTCCATCACTCTCTTACCCTACTTCCATCCACTCCGATACTCACCTTCAGACCTGACACCTTTCCTCTCCTCCACTCCTCTCCCCACTCCTCTCTTCTCTCTCCTCCCTCTGACCCTCTTCTGCCAAACCTCTGGCAAGTTACGACCTTCTGCCACTGTCCTGTACCCTGTACTCAGACACCGCTCATACCTTCGCTCTGAGATTCCATCATAGTTCTGACCTCGGACTTTGACTCCACCTTGGCTTAAGTCCATTGCATTGGTGACCTCATACTACGTAAACACCATTGCCAACATTCCTTGGACTTTCAACCCCACCTCCGTAACCTCCGTAAGCTCTGCAACCTCCGAGCTCCACAGATCATACTTGGCACTTTTGCTGTTTGTAATGTATCTTTCATGCTTTCCCCTCATCCTTATTTGGACTGCTGCTTCTTCCCATTCTAGCCAGTTAGTCATCATCCCCACTTCACCTCATCTTCCTGCCCCTCTGGGCTTCGCCCTCCCTATCTCCTTTCAGATGTACCACAAGTTCTGACCTATGACCTTTGGTACCGCTCCGCTTTCATCTTCCCTTTGTCCCCTTTGTTCTGATTCAGACCCTCTTTGTTTCCTCATGCTTTTGCCCTCTCCATTATATACCGGCACTTGTACATACTCGTTTTAGGCCCTTAGTCTAAAATCGACCTGAAATGCCCCCTAGAGACTTCCTGCTCAATGCCTCTGAAATTAAGGACCAAATGGACAAACAGCAATGGCACAGCGCTCTGCATGAGTTGCTGAGGCCAAGGTCCCTCCTTGCTAAGTCTCCGGTTCCCCTCCAGAATCATCTGCCCTCACCCAGTTCTAACAATTTGGAGCCATTAGCAATAGGGATTAATATTTTACAGAGTTCAGAAACATGGACAGACCAAGTTATCCTCCTATTTGCTTGACTCTATCACCACTACACTACGCTTCTGAAGTCCAATCCAGCTGAACATAACACTGTTAAAGAGATAATCAACAGCTTGGAAAAGCACTGGTCTAAACTTGACCAGGAACTATTCATACTTGGCCTTATTCTGAATCCATTCATAGACCCCCAACTTTTCGCATCTATGCTGCCACCATTCATTATCATCACCATGGCTGAGAGGATGTACAAGCAGATCACCAAATCAGATAGTGCAGTTGACCTAGTAGGCCCAGAGCTTGTGAAATATCTGCAACACAAAGGTCAGTATTGTCAGAGACCAGATTCGAGATGAGGGAGTGTCGCCATAGTGGAGGGCTTTGGCCTCAGTGACTTCTGCCAAGAGCGCTGTGCCTAGTGACACATCCGTGCCCTAACTTACTGACTGGCAATCAGAACCGAAGGGGGGGTAACTCTAGTTGATTTTACTACTGGGGTGTAACCTATGTACAAGTGGGATATATATATGGTTACAGCGGAGACGGTTCCGCAATTGGCGGAGCCGAACGGAGCGGAGCTAACGGGGTTTAGACATTAGCTGACTGAATATTACCGATGAGTCGGTTCGTGGGGTTAGCGGAAAGGCAGGCGATAACCCAGAAACGGACAGGAGGGATAGGCCCGAAGGTGGGCTCTGCAGGGCAGGCAAGTGTATTGCCCAGCGGAGGTGGGGGTGCGCTAGCAGACGTCGGAGCTGTCCGGAAGTCTTCGGGGCTCCGTACTTAGGGAGGCGTAGGTAATAAATTGAAATGAGGGGGTGGTGACCATCGAGGGGTACCGAGAGGATTGCGGAATACGGGGGCTCCAAGGTTAGTGAGGGAGGAGCAGAGTTAGACCGGAGGGATCGGAGGAACCGGAAGTCGATGGCCGGGGATGGATATGACAAGTATGCAGGAGATGTGTGGTCTTCAGAAGAGGTGATGAATAAATATGCACCAGTGAGTCATAACAATCTTACTTTGTACGTCACCCTGATCTCAACTAGAACTATCCCACAGAAACAAGATCCTAAGGATATCTGGGCTCTTTTGAGTAAAACATCCCCACTTTGGAGACTTGCAGACACTGTGCTTAGCTTTGTCTGTAATGCTGCAGATTCAGAGTGGCTGTGGAGTCACTGTGGGCTCATCAAGTCAAAAAAGCGAAGCCGCCTATCAGTGGAGAAGATGAAGAAGACAGTAATCAAGATTGACTTGATGTCTAAGAGAGCAATGGATGGATCCCGTATCAAATGGATCAAGCGCACACATGGAGTGATGGCAACTGAAGAGGACATTGCCCAATCACAAAATAGATTAGGTGAAGAAGCACTGGATGGCTTAGGAGAGGGACTGTCAGAGTACAGCCCAGTTAAGTCTGGACTGCTTACACACAACTGATGACACACTTGCCCCAGACTGGCATTACCCACACAGCCTGATCATTATCCCCAGACTGGCATGGGCATTTGTTATATTTCCTTCTGTAGAGCGGCCCCGCTTTGCCAGGCATACTGACTTTATCATCCCCTGGGTAGTGAGTGAGGAAGATAACTTTCTTCTCTCACTTCCCCTTGCTGCTCAGCTGGAATCCCCATCACAATCTGCTCTGCCAGGTTCCCCCATTGAGACTGACCCTGTCCCCCTCAGCCTCAGCTCCAGCGAAGGCTCAGGATCCCTTGACTTAGAGTCCAAGCAGCTTGGTACCCTGACAGGGACCAAATGATGAGGAAGAGGTCATCGATGAAGATGGGACACCAGAAAGGCATCGTTTAATGCATTCCAAAGGCAGTTGGTCACTGATCTGCAAGATTGCAACAGTGGTGATGAAGAGACAATGTTGTCAGCAGCTCAAATTGAAGGCTGGGTATGTAGGAATCATACTTGCTAGTTGTTTTGCAGAAAATATAATGGCAATTTCTGTGTAGCAGCATTCCACAGATTCTTGCCAAAAGCGGCCCCTTGAAGATCTTTTTGACTACACAGTAGAGAGAGCCTGGAAGGTGTTCTGGGTTGAGGGCAAAGCTAGCACTAGGGCTCAGACTCAGATGTTGGACTGTCAGGGACTCGTCCGGGGTCGAGGGGGTCCGGGTATAACGTCCGGGACCGAGAGCCTGGCGGGGGGCGGATCGGGCGTGCGTACTGACAGGCCCGATGTGGGACAGCGGTCCCTGGCCACTTAGACTGAAGTGGAAAGTTGTTATTATTATTAAAGGAGAAATATTGTACTACTTACCTGAAGTGGAAAGTTGAGAAGAAGGCTACTTCTTCGGTTCCCACTTCAGGTTCGTTTATATACATGCGGCTTGGATCACATGACGGGTGCCACGTCACCCTCGCACACAGCCGTAACCACCCGGGTGTCTCCGTGGGAGATCCCAAGGGTATCCGGTGCAGGCGCGCGTGCTGGGCACAGCGGGAAGTCGCCCGAGGTGCCCGGGCCAGGTACATGGTGGGCACGCTGCAGATGGGTCAGTTGTACATTGATACAGAGAAAGTCGTCCGTGTAGAATAAAGAGAGAATAAAGGAGAAGTAAGATAAGGAGAAACTGAGGAGGGGAGGATGAGGGGGAAGAAGGGAAAGGGGGAGGAGGTAAGGAGGGGTGGACCGGCGGGGTACCGGGTCAGGTTGGGCCGGGTGGAGCCGGGTCAGGCGGGTGTGCCCTGACATGGACCTGGAGGCTCATAATGCTGCTATTCAGGGTGGAGTAGTAGCCATGGCGGAAGGTGTGGCAGCGAGTTGGGGTATCACCAATCAGTTGCCTGATTAGGAAGTTCAATACAATTTACATAATCATTTCTGTAATCCACCAATGCCTGTTCACTTTTGTCGACTTCAGTCTCAAACTAGTTTAAACTACCAATTAAAGTCAATTAAGACCAAACATTATTAAACAAGTTTAATATCTTCGATTAAACAACACTGGTGTTAGATCGTGCGGATTCAGACAACTCTGGAGTGGAATCGGAGACTTAGCATGGAAGGACCTCAGCCTCAGCAACTCAGGCAGAGCGCTGTGCCATTGCTGGTTGTCCTGGGGGTCCCTGATTTCGGATCTAGCAGAGGGGAAGTCTCTAGGGGGCATTTCAGGTCAATTTCGGACTGAGGTTACAAGTTACTATGTACATTGTATATAAGGAGGGGTCCGGAATCAAAAGGAGCAAGGGTACTCTGAAAGCAGACAAAGGGAGCTGGAAGGAGGAACAACACCGAGGGTCAAGGGTTTGACTCAATGGTGTTTCCCAAAGGAGGAGTGAAGGGCCAAGGCCCAAGGAGGAAGGAAGGAGGATGGGAGCAGGGAATGGCTGACTGACTGAATAGAAAGGAAGCAGCAGCCCAAATAGGAATGAGGGAGAATAGCGGAATTGAATGGAGCAATGCAATAGTTGCAAGGTCCGACATAAGTCCGGAAAGTCCGAACTCGGAAGTTAAACTCCGGAATATTGGCAAAGGCAATTAAATGGAATGAGCTAACCAATACAATGGGTATAAGCAGAGGTGGGGTCAAAGTCCAAGGTTGGAGCTAAGACCAGAGGTTCTGGAGACAGAGACGCGAATGTCAGGGACCAGTCTGGGGTCGAGAGCATCCGGGTATATCGCCCGGCGCTGAGGGCCCAGTGGGGTATGAAGCGGGCACATACGGCAACGGGTCCGGTGCAGGCAAATGTCCCTGAAGTGGGAATGGTGAGAAGAGGACTGCTTCTCTGGTTCCCACCCCAGGTATGTTTATATACATGGTGCTTAGGTCACATGAGAGTTGCCACATCGCCCCCATGCACAGCCCCAGCCACCCAGGTATCCCCATGGGGGATCCCGAAGGGATCTGCTGCAGGCACGCATGCTGGGTGTACCTGGGGGTCATCCAGAGCATCCGGGGCTGGGTGGGTCAGTAGTACATCGATCAAGGAAAGTCGTCCATGTAAATAGAAATAGAAAGAACAGAGAATGAGACAGGGAAGAAATAGGAAGAGGGGAAAGTGGAGGGAGGGGGAAATAGGAAGGGGGGGAAGGGGGTAGCGGGTGGAGTGGAGCCAGGTGGAGCCAGGTGAGGCGGGTGTGCCCTGACATCACCCCCCCCCCCTTAAGCTGCTTCGCCTCGAAGCGGCCAGAGGGTTTTCCCTTTCCCTCCCTGGGGTGTGGGGGTGTGTCTGGTGGAATTCCTTAATTCGGTCAGGGGCGTGGGTTAGTTGGTTGCAGGGGAGCCATTCATTTTCTGAGTCCGGCCAGCTGGTGAACTTTACCAAATACCAGAGTCTCCAGCATAACCACTTGGAGTCCAATATTTTCTCCACCTCATATTCCTCCTTTCCATCTATGAGTTCTGGACCTGGGCAGGGGTCGGGAGGTCATTCTGCAATCTCATCTGGGTGGTGCAGTCTGATGTTCGTCACGGACACAACTGGGTGGACTCCCTTTTTGTCAGGGCATGCCCTGCCACGCCCTGCCTGACCCCCGCTCCGCTTCCCCGCTCCGCACCGCTTCCTTTCTCCTTTCTTTCTTTCTTTCCTTCTCTCTCTCTTACATGGACCACCTTTCCTGCTGTTCAATGTACCACCGGCACACATGCCCATTTCCCCTCCTGTATCTTACCATCCCTACATCGCCGCTACCACCGCCGCACTTGCCCCGCACCCACAGCAGGCCCTCTCAGGATCTCCTGCAGAGGCACCCAGAGAACCACGGCTGTGTGCAAGGGTGACATGGCACACCCCACGTGACCAATCCTGCATGTATATAATAACAGCTGGGGTGGGAACCGAAGAAGTAGCCTTCTTCTCATATTCCCACTTCAGACTAAGTGGTCAGGGACGCTCACCCTGCAACGGGATCGCCACTACGCACAGCCGCTATTCATCCCATCAAGCCCCGCACGCCGGGACCCCGCCGCTCCTGGAGCTGTCCCTGACACTTTTGTCGTGCGGTGAGTTGGAGTTTAATGGCGGCTGGGGAGACGACTTTAATAATCTTGAAGGGGCCTAGCCATTTGTGGTCCAACTTCTTGGTCGGCTGGTCTGTTGTGTAATTCTGGGCGCTAAGCCAGACCTGGTCACCCTCTTGGTACTTTGGGGCTGCCTCACAGTCTCGGTCATAATAGCAGGCCATCTTGTCCGCTGCGTGTTCCAGCACTGCTTTTGCCTCTTCCTGCATTTTCATCATCCTAGATGAGAAGGCGTCTGCAGCTTCCACTTCAGACGTGCGTGTGGGTTCTGTCCCCATCCTGGGGTGCTGCCTGGTGTCGAGTTCGAAGGGGGTCTGGCGGGTGGAGGAGTGGACGTGTGTCAGGGCACACACCCTGACTAGCCCGGACCCGGACCCGCATCTGGACCCGCGCCCGGACCCGCATGCATGCTCCACCCCACGCGCCGCATGCTCCGGGCCCGGTTCCCACTTCTCATGTGACTTCCGGGTATCCCCGGAAGTTTTCGCCATATTGGGCCACTGTGGGAAAGTGAGAAGTTAACCTTCTTCTCACTTTCTTACCCACAGTAGGGCTGTTCACAGGTTAGACTGTGGGCCATAGAGAGGGGTCATGGGGACCCGGGGTCTGTCCCCTGACAATGTGGTTGTTGTGGGCAAACTCTGCCAAGGGGAGCCAGTCCGCCCAGTCGTCCTGGCGGTGGTTGACGAATACCCAGAGGTAGGCCTCGATCTCCTGGTTAACTCGCTCTGTCTGTCCATCCGTCTGGGGGTGGTAGGGTGTCGAGGGGGTCAGCTTCACTCCTAGGAGGTCTGCGAGTTCTCTTGAGAAGCGGGAGACAAAGGCGCTCCCTCTGTCGCTGAGGATTTCTTCTGGGAGCCCGTGGTGTTTCCAGACATGGTCCAGGAAGAGCCGCGCGATACCAGCTGAGTCCACTGATGTCGTGGTGGGGATCATGTGGATACGTTTGGACAGGCGGTCCACTATGACTAGGATGGCATTGTAGCCCTTTGACTCCGGGAGTTCTCCCACCATGTCTACTGAGATCACCTGCCAGCGGTGGGTAGGGATCTTGTTTGGGGTGAGCTTTCTGTCAGGGCACACACCCTGACTAGCCCGGACCCGGACCCGCTTCCACCTGCTGCGCTTCCCGCATGCGTGCACGCTCCGCACGCCGCATGCTCCGGGCCCGGTTCCTACTCCTTCATGTGACTTCCGGGTATCCCCGGAAGTTTTCCTGATATGGTGGCCACTGTGGGAAGATGAGAAGTTAGCTTCCTTCTCATCTTCTTACCCACAGTAGGTTGTGCCCTGGATAGGGCTGGTTACACCTCAGGGCTGTGGACCATAGGGGAGGGTCATGGGGACCCGGGAGTCGTCCCCTAACACTTTCCAACTTTGCATGTGGGGAAGGGCTTGACACAGTTGCAGGTGTTGCACCCGTGTACGTATCACCCGATGTACTCTGCCATCCAGGGCCACCAGTAGTCATGGGAGACGAGCTCCAGGGTTTTCCATCGCCCTGGGTGCCCCATCGCCCATGCATTGTGGTGTAGCCGTACCAGATCATGGCGGAGTTGAGGGTCCTTTGGGACGTACACCCTCCCCCAGTAGAGAACCAGCTCTCCTTGCTTCTCCCATTTGTCCGACCTAAGTGTCCCCTCTCCTAGTTCTCGCATAGCTTTCACCACTCTCTCATCCTGGTCCTTTGCCCCACGTATCCTCTCCAGTATACCTGCCTCTTCGCCCTCCACTGAGATCGCCTCCATCCCCCGGGCTTCAAACCAGGCTGGTTGAAGGAGCATCA